GTAGGTCATGATGGTTTTTTGCATTAACATACGGTCTTATAAAATCCATTTCTTTTATCATATTTTGAGTTTTTTGAGTAACAAAATTATGATAATTCAGTGATGCATTTGTAACTACAACAACAACAAATCACTAATCTGTGATAACATAGCATAAAAATAGAATAATTGTTAATCGTATTCCAACAGTAGTCCATCAAATTGATAATTAACATATCAGCTGTGTACATACCACGATTGATATACCTTTAATATATATTCGAAACCGTGGTTTTGACTACAGAATATTATAATATACATCAGCTACCAAGTATCAAATATTCAAATAGTAAATACGGAGATACTGTCTTACTGGAGCCCTAGACAAAGCATCTACATGACAGTGACATGATTCCCAGTTCGATATTTGATCGTAAAATCATATTCTTGCAACACATCGTGCCAGCGGGCTACTTGTGCGTTCGTCGCCTTGAATGAATTCAGATACACAAGCGCCTGGCAGTCTGTGTAAACCACAAATTGCAATCCAAAGAGGAATTGACGTAACTTACTCATCGCCCACACCACGCACATCAATTCCAACTTGCTGGAATGGTACTTGGATTCAGAATCACTGGTTTTCTTTCTTATACAATAAACAAACTTAAGCGAATCGCCAGTTTTCTTGGACTGCAACAGCATAGCGCCAAGTCCTAACGAGCTGGCATCAGTATGCAGTTCGGTGACTTCCGCATTTGGATCAAACATAGTAAGAACTGGTGGCTCTGCCAACCGGTCCTTCAGCACACGGAAAACACTATCCTGCTCGTCGCTCCACAAAAAATCCGCGTTCTTCTTGGTCAACCGCGTAAGTGGTTCTGCTATGATCGCGTATCCTTCCACAAACTTGCGGAAGAAACTGGTAAGCCCCAAAAACCGTTTCAATGACGTCACGTCGACCGGAGTAGGGAAGTCCGATATCGCACGTGTTTTCAGTTCACCTGGCTGTATCAAACCGCCGCCAATAACAAATCCTAGAAATTCAATCTGTTTGGCATCGAAGGCACACTTCGATGGTTTGAGAGTCAGACACGCACTCCTCAACCGATCAAACACCAACCTCAGCTTGGACAACATATCGTCCCAGTCAACAGCGTCTATGACCATATCGTCCAAGTAGTTTCGTACAATTTTCTCATGTAATGGACCCAACACACGTCGCATCAATCGGGTAAACTCTGCTACGGCTCCAGACAGGCCAAACGGCATGCGAGTAAACTGACCGGTGGTGTCTTCAGTTATGAATGCTGTTTTCGCGGCCGCCTCGTCCATTAATGGTATTGGCAGATGACCACTGGCTAAATCCAACTGTGCGAACAACTTGTTGTTCCCCAACGAATGTAGTTGCTCATTCATATCCGGCAATGGAAAGTGTTGCCGGAGGGTCTGCTTGTTAAGGCGTCTGTAATTGACGCCGAGTCTATGCTTGCCAGCGCTTTGTTTGAGAAGCAATACCGGGCTGGCGTAGGGTGATCGAGTTTCGGCCACCAATCCACAGCGCTTCCGATCACTTACAATCCTCTCTATTTCGGCCCTGTCAGCCGCCGTCGTTTTATAGGGCTTGCACATAACCGGTTTGCTACCAGTTACCTCCAAAATATCCATCGAAGTCAAAGGGGTACCCCTGGCTGTATGCCAAGTTCCTCCAAACTAGTGGCAAAACAGTCCCGATATTCATTGACCAAGTCGGTCAGAATCGACCTTTCGCAGCACTCGCATCTCCGTCCACGAACTTAAACTCACTCAAATCAAGTGGCGCACGCTCTAGTTCACCTTCTGTGCTCACCACATGCAAGCTGTCAAATTCGTTACCCAACGTAACAACGGTAGCGTCAACTAGTTTGTTCACAGCGTTTGCTTCCGCGAGTACTAATTGACTTCCAGATTTATAACACGATACCGAAGGTGAATCTAACCAGTTCCTTCCTATAATGGCATCGGGTCCTTGAACGYCGTCAGGTACGATTAGCGTAACTACCGGTCCGGCGTTAACTACATCGATAACTATTTCGATCACTGCCTCCCCGACAGTCTCGAGGGCAGGCACAATGGTGCTGCCAATACCATACAGCGGTTTCACAAATGGTCGGACGCTTACACCGCACTTAATTGCCTGCGTTGACTTGAACAAAGTGAAATGACTACCTGTATCCAATAGTGCTACAAACTCACAGTTGTTCACAACTCCGACCTTCTGGTACGGATGTCGTGCTTCCACGTTCTTCTGCTCAGCAGACTTTCTGCTGGGTCGGGCAATTCGTCACCATATGGCCAGCAGCGCCACAGCGGAAACATGTCATTGGTTTCCGTTTCGTTGGGCAGTCACGGGAAAGGTGCCCTACCTTATGACAGTTGAAACAACTGCCGCGCTCGACATCATCAGTCACCTTCTCGGTCACCTTGCTCTCTTGGCTCGACGTAGCGGCAACTGCCTTGTCTCCAACCGGTACTGCGCGCCTCCAAGTCTTTTTATCCTTCAAAAAGTCACCCGCTGACTGATTCCGTTGCCCACTTGTTTTGTTCGAATCTTTGTACTTGACAGGTAGATCCGACTTCAAGTCCGTTTTCCTCAGTGAGTACAGGGTTCTATTTTGCGAATTAATTTTTCGTTGGTTAGGTAAATGATTAAATAACACTTCAGATACTTCGTGGTTATGGATGTTATTCATTCGATTAATTTCTCATGTATTTCCTTCATTATTTATCATTAGATGAATAAATGCTTCACAACCTTGGCGCATAGTTCTGAAATTTATATTTAAGATTATTAAAAAAAAAAAATGTAATAATATATTGTAATTATATTGTATTGTAAATATTGACTATAAATGTTATATGAATAAAATGAATCTATATACTAATATTTAAAATTTAAATACTTACGAGGTATTTCATTGCTCTTGGCAAATCTTTTTTTTTTTTATGGACCCCTCCGTGAATGCACATAAGTTTCACATAATAATATTTTAAATCTTCAGATGTATTTGCCAATCTAGGATACCTCTGTTTTTGTGACGATATAGTCTTGCAGTCTTTAATGAAAAAGTCAACATGGTTTATTTTTTTGAAAACATTTAAAGCTTTTTCAAATTCTGCTTAGCTTTTGAATGTATCATCTATTTGCATCTTAATATGGTGATTATAATTTARACACTCATTTACACGATTGTTCACCTTTTACTCTATTAAATCCAAATATGTAAAAAAAAAACCACCAACACTACTTTTTGATGAATATAATAACAGTTGTTCATCTTTTACTGTTAAATACAAAAATACATCAAMGACAAAATAACCAGCCATAAAAATAAAGAAAATGTGATATCATCATATGTTCATCAGAACCAGTTCACATTCTTCATAATATAAATAAACTATAGACTATAATTAATGTATAAAAATCAATAATTTAAATTTAGGCGGTATTCGATATCAATTAAATTTATTTAAAACTGATAACTGATAACAGTGATAACGTCGCGCAAAAATTATTATATTCTGTGCAGAAATCACAAGTCCCCACTCATGCACATATCATGTCCGGGGATATAATTTTTACGCATTATATACCCGGTGTCCGGGTCTCTAGCCACAGCCAAAAGAAAACGTATAACAAATTAGACTTAACCCTTTATAGGTCACAGAAAAATTATCGTACGATTTCTACCAAATTTTCAAATTTACTTCTTAACAGATGTAAKTTACTGTAAAAAAATCGTAACTTTTTTTGTATTGGTAAAAAATGGGTGGGGAATAATTTGCCACTTAACACCATACTAAAATTTTTTTTATTTTAACTATTTTTATGCAAACAAATGTATATATGACATGCTAAATAGGTATTTAATTGTATTTTAGGATTTATGACACCTGAAGATACAAATCTTCTCAACTGATAAAATAAATTCTWATGATATTATAGTAAACCTTATAATTTATTATAACGATAGAACAAACAAAAAATAATTAATAATGAAAACATAAATAAAAACCTTTGTAGAATTATCTTGATTCACACATTTCAGACTTCACATTATATAAAATTATAATAAAAAATAAATAAAATCAACTTTTCAAAATAAAATTAACTTTCTAAAAAAAAAAAAAAAACAATATTAACTGTAGTATCTAATTGGACAATAAAATCAATAAAATATACTAAGTTATATGGTACTCAGCAAAACAATCTTTGCATAAAACTAGGTTGCAAGTTGCACACATTATATTAGATATTTTGTCATGTTTTTTGGTACTACATCTAAAACAGCGTCTATATGTAACAATTTTAGTTGCAATATGTGATTCAAAGATTGAAATTACTTCCACATTTGATTTTGATCTTTTTTGGGATGGTGATATAGTAGGTCTTTTACGAGATGAATAATTTGATACGAGTTAATTTGCTAATGTAGATCTAAACTCTAAAGGGCTCATATATTTTGTTTTATGACTATTGCAGCTTTTTTTTATACATCAAAAACGAATTTACTATAGATGTATCTAATAAATAATAAAATATTTTTACCCACCAACGGCGTGATTTTTGACTAATACTGTAGGCAGCCATATTGATCAAATTTATCAACACCCCTCATATATCTATTGTAATCTGCAATACTAGATGGACATGAAATTGCTATCTTTTCACCTCTAGAATTTTTTCTGTGTACAATTTATGAGAGGGAAGCATTATGCATACTGCTAATTACAGTTACTGGYTTTGAACCCCTGTCCTTCCATCTACAAACACTGATATCATCACACAGAGCAAATTCAATATCTCCAGGCTTATAAAGTGAATCTTTTTTTATTAAATCTTTTGGGTAATATTTTTTATTTATTCAAAATGTCCCACATGAGAATATATCACTATTTAATAACTTTTTAGCAAGTGGCAAACTAGTAAAAAAATTATCAAAATATATGCAATGAAATTTCATTTCTAACTATTGGGAAAGATTTCAGACTAAAGATTCAACTAAATGTTCTCCTAATCCAAATTCTGTTAAATTATTACTGTTTTTACCAGTATAGATTTCAAAATTAATAAGGTAACCACTTGCAGAGTCAGCTAATGCCCATACTTTGAAACCTCTTTTAATTGGCTTCATCGGCATGTATTGTTTCATCCCTGATCTACCCTTGAAAGCAATCACACTTTCATCAATTGATAAGTGCCTAGAGGGACATTCTAAACTTGAATACATTGTTTGTAAATGACAAATTAATGGTCGAACTTTAAATAATTTATCAAAATCAGGACCTCAAGGGGTCATTTTAGAATTGTCATTTATGTGCAATTTAAATCTTACTAACTTTAAAAACCTTTTTACTGTCATAATACTTGCAACTCTATCACAAAAAAAGTTTTTATCATTAGACCAATAATGACGAATGCTTGGTAATGAATGGAAACCCATAATTATAAGTATCCCAATGAATGCTTTAATTTTTTCAGGAGTTGTATCTAACAAATTATTACTTTGTTCAGCATAAAGATATGATTCTCTAACATTTAAATCAATAAAAGGAGAAAATATTTTTTCCCAAATGTTTAATGGAGTTAATTGAATAATATTATCACTAATAGGACTTTTCATTTGGAAAGTTGATTTTGAAAAATTTTCAGGTTGTTTACCAATTTTGGTAAAATTAAATGTATTAGTGTTAGAATCTTTTCTCAATTCATTGCCTCATAATTAATAGTAAATCCTACATTTGAAATATTTCTTTCATTCAAATCAGTATAACTATTATCAGCATCGTCATCACTAAAATTAATATTAATTTCATTTAATACAGGACATAATCTTTGTCTTTATCCGTATCATCTGCATCTGACTCAGAATTTGAACCCCATTCATCTGTAATATAAGTTTTAAATTATGTACACGTATGACATATATATGTAAAAACTAAAGATTCATACTTAACACATCTGAAGCTGTCTCAACAATTTTGAATAAGCTTCGTCTAGTTCTAGAATTACAACCACTTGAAGATGGTTTATCTTGATCAGAAATACTGGCATTCACTAAGAAAAAATATAACAGTTTATGAACATATTCACAACTTTTATCATTATATTTTAAAAGTACACTTTTATTGATTTTATAAATTATTAATTTTATTATTATTATAAATATATATTTACATAAAACAAATAAATATACAATAAATATATTACAATTTATTTATAAAACATAATAAAATTAATAAAATATGTAAAAATATTTTCACATTGATTAGTTGTTTGAATATTTGATCTTGTTCTTTTGCCTAAAGACATGTGAAAATAATAATATTTCATAAAAATAGCATCTGCCTAGTGCAGTTTTAGATTCACAATTTGATATTGAAAATTCTATATATTATTACCTGAGGATGTTATTTGTCGAATTATTGGTGTAATATCATCAGCATCAGAATCTCCACCAATGTCTGAATCTATTGCCATATCATCTGTTGTATTAAATAACTCATATTATAATATATCATGATCCTTAAGTTTGTAATCCATCTGCAATTAATGTAAAAATTAAATTAATTATTCATTAAAAATTCACAATAAAGTGAAAATATTAAGTTTGTGGTGTATATATACACTTACTGTGTATATATATATTGATTCCTTAAGAATTATTTGTTAAATTGATACATACTTTGAGTTCCTAACAGCAATCAATCTTCTGTTGTAGTCGTTTTAGTTTGAGTAAAAATAAATTAGTATGAAAAATGTGTCACGAAAAATTAAAAATTATAGTACTTGAAGTATGATATGATATTTCATTATCATACTAAAATAAAGAACAAAAACTAAGCTATTTAATCATACTGATTACAGATAAATTGAACAATTTTATCAACAATAAATTTCAATTGAAATTAAATTATGAATAACTCTTGGAATAATGAGATACCGCGAGTGTGCAGTGGAAAAATATTTCCCACCTGGAACGTTTTATTTCAATAACTCATTACTAGATTGCGCYAGGGTAAAAATACCTATATAATAATAAAAACAGAAAATTATGAACATTCGTTTGATATAAGTGGGAAATTATTTCCCTACGATCACAAGCTACAGTATTTTTTTTTCTAAGGTGGGAAATAATTTCCCTCTATCCTATAAGGGGTTAAGTCAACGTTAAACGCACGATTCAAATCCCACAATTCAAGTGATATAGAAAATCGGTTATTACTTATCAGTGTTCTGTGCTACAACACGCATGGCAAAACACACAAACCATGARAGAAAAGATAATTTTTTTGGTGAGTAGGATAGAAGATACGTTTTTTATATTGCTGTCTTTTTTCTTTATTCGGGAACGCTGCCCGCTATGTAACTAGTATCCACAGGGCCTATCCATTATGTATTATCTATGAACAAAACCCACATGTCGCAACTGGAAAATTTCACATTATAAATGGAAAAAATGACCTCGAAGGCTCGTGGGATGAGTTAGTTCTACACCTCAATAATCTTTGAAATCGTGGTGGAATGGAAAAAAATATAAAATCCTGGAAAGAGGTAAGGAAAATACATTTTAAAATATTAAACTTAACACCGTGGGCTTTCCTTTTATCTTTATTTGGTGATTTTTTCGTGAATGAAGAGTTATACCACTGCTTTTTTAATATACTAGGTACTATCGTACCTATCGTTATAAGCCAAAGTTTTTTACATTTACAATTCAAGTCTTGGAAATTATAAAAATATTGTTTTCTAAATTTGTACCAAACTGTTAAGTGTCAATTAATATCTAAAAAATAATTAATGAAGGACTTCATTAATTATTGTGAAAACCTACAGTTTAAATTATTTTACTTTTATTAATAATGTTTTTGTTAACATTTAAGTGTAATACAAACTCAAAATTTAATAATATAAATATATAGGTATTTTATTATATTATATATTTATTTGGTTATAATAAATTGGGACTTTAAAAAAAAAAATAATCTTTTGTACCCGCTCGATTTTTGGTATTTTTAATATATAACGCAAATCACACCTCTAGAACAATACTGCCAAGAACAAGACATTATACAATGCAAGAACTCCACCTCATTTTTCATTTAGCCTCTAAAAAGAAGTGTCAGTATTGAATTATTAAATTAATTCAATACTTTCTTACTTTGAATTGTGGGGTTTTTTTCATAAATAAAATCTAATTGGTACTGTGTGAAATGTTGAGTGCGAAACTGCAATGTTTGGGTTGTGGCAGTATTACATTTTATACATTGTTATATTGTAGCCACAATATGAAATGCAATACTACTATATTTTAGTATATGGCTGTCTTAAAATCAATTTTTGTATGCAATACAGCCACATCCCAAAATATGGTAGTCTTGCATTTACTTAAAATATTGTAAAAAGCCACAAGCTTAACTTTTTTGGATTAAGATAGTATCTCATAATATTCGAAAAAGTTATATTGTAAAGTATCTTTGCAAGTATCTAAATTTTAGTTTCAAACACTTAGATAAAAAACTCTTTCACATATCTTAGACTTCAAATCACTTTTTCTCAAAACTAACAATTTTGAGCTGTGACAGTCTTCTACGAAAGGTGCAAAATATCAATAATTATATAAATTTGCATTATAAAATGAATGTAAAAAATGTTGAAGGGGATTCGTTTGTTTTATCTTCATATTATTTTTAGTCTTGGAGAGATTTGAAGACCAAGGTCTCAAAAAAGGCATCAGTGTTAAGAAACTCAAGAAGACAGACCGGAAATAAACGATTATAAATTATAAATTTAATAATTTATTATTATAATTTATTAATTTAAATATAATTATAAATTCAATTCAACGAATTGACTGAGATGGACAGTAAAGTTTTAGGTATAGTAGGTGTTCGAGCATGCTGCAGCCACTGCGTTGCCATTGGCACCCCTGAACACCGGCACTAGCAGCCCTACATCATTGCTGTCGTCCGACCTGATAAGCACTTCTGTTTTGTTCGGCGAAGCGACCGTGTGTGTGTCAGCTCGTTGTTGTGGTATCTATATTCCATAT